TGAGACACCAAAAACACTGTCCCATTAGAGAACTAAGCAGATATTTAAGGAGTTCAATTTGAGGAAACGTTCATAAATAACATGTCATGAGACTTGTGGAAAACCATTTAGTCCAGTGTTTGATGTTTCAGTCCAGAGTACATGGAGTTCCAGTAGATCGAAAGGGTCAACATTGCATTAAGTGTTTCTTCACACAGCTCCACTACAGCTCCTCCAAAACTCTGCAGCACGGCTGCTGACGAGGACCAGGAAGAACAAGACATCACCCCAATATGAATCTCTCACTGGCTTCCTTGAGCTCAGATAGATTTTAAATTCTTTTATTGGTTATAAACTCTTAATGGTATTAGTCCTATTTATTTATCTGATCTGCTTTATCATATGAGCCCCTCAGACTCTCAGGTCTCAGTCTCATCTTTTAACTGTTCAAGAGTCCAAACTAAAACTCACGGTGGGGCATCATTCAGCTTTTACAGCCCCCGTTTGTGGAACAGTCGACTGAGGATCTGAGGTTCGCTGCGAGGTTCATATTTTTAAAGTAAACTCAAAACGTAATCTTTTTAATTTAGCTTTTAATTGAACTTTTACTTGTTTATTATTATTATTATTATATTATTATTATTATTTGCTTTAAATTAATTTACCATAATATTTTATTAGTCTCCATCTGTTTTATCTTTCCATATATATTTACTATAACCTTTAGGAGCTTTATATTTATGTTTTATTGTTTATATATGCATTGATAATGGGGGGGGGGGTTGCTGTTATTTAATATTTGTAATTTTTCTGTTGCATGTGAAGCACTTTGTGCTAATTTTCAAATGTATGAAAAGTGCTATACAAATAAAGTTTGATTGATTGATTGAAGAAAGGCAAGACAAAAGTGCCTAAAACAGCTCAGTCTAAATGACATCTAGAAAGTTGTCTAAAATATTCTCTTATAGCGCCGCAGGCCCCTGGCAGAGTAGGGACCACCCAAGCCGACCACGGGAGGAGCACCTACACACGGCTTGTTTCAAGAGGGCACTACGATGCAGAATACCAGAAGCAGCAGAGCAATAGGATCACCTGAGAGAAAGTAATCAGCACGTAGCAGTGGAGCTCTAATTAAAAGACTTATGGCCTGAGGTTTCTGTTGGTTTGGGATGTGCTGGTTTTGTGTGTTGTGGTTAGCGTAGGAGAACGAGGTGGTGATGTTTCGGTGCAGGAGCTAGGTGGCCAGTTGAACCTCACCTGGGGATGGTTTGTAGCCGCCGCAGTTGTGCCGTCCTGCTGTCAAAGTCCAGTCACCCGAGCACACAGGAGCATAGGGACACTGGGACATTTACCACTTTTAGTTGTTTTTATTGATTCACTTTGGCCCAGGATGTTGTAGCTTTTTAGTGCTCACTCATTTTAAACGTTATAATTTGTACTTTTTATTGCTCCCACATTCAATATTTTTGTTAAATATAATTTTAATCGAACACAGCAACAAGGGGTTATAATACTACTTTTCAATAACCTTCACCCTGTAACACATATGTTCTTTGTAACATGTATGACTGTATAATTCAATTCTGTGGATTTAACAATCTATTATTAAAAGAGGAAGTTGATACCACAAGTCCAGCTGCAGTTAAACAAATCCTAAGATATTATTATTTTAGTGGTGTGAGAGCTCCTCCTGTGTTGGCCATAGTGAATAACAGTCTGATGTGTTTTTGTACAGCTCTACATATACTTCGTATGACTGTGGGTCTCGAGCACAGTAGTACACTGCAGTGTCTCCAGGCTGCATGTTCTGTCCATTCAGAGTCACTGTGTTACTGGAGGAATCTGCATTTATACTGAACTTGTTCTTCAGTGAATCTTTGAGGTACACAGTGGATCCTGCACGCTGACCAATCCACTCCAGTGGTTTCCCAGCAGGCTGTCTGATCCATGCTGTCCAGTAGCTGCTAACAGAATATGAGACAGTACAGGAGATGGTGAGAGTGTGTCCTGGCTGCACAGTCACAGAGGCTGGCTGTGTCAGTGTCTCACACTTCACACCTGTGGAGGACAGAGCACAATATTGAGGATCAAACTGTGCTGTTTAGTTGTACCAGAGTTTACTGATGTGAACAGAGACTTACAGGATCCAGCTGCCAGCAGCAGCAGAAGAGCTACAGACAACATCATCAGTGTGGAGTGCACTGTCACACTCTCACATGGGCCTTATATAAACACACAGGAACACAGCAGTAGTTTGCATTCACACTAACAGGGAGGGGCATCAGAGGGAGACTAATTATAAAATAAATGTTTGAGCATGTGTGTGAAAATATCAGTAATTATTGATGTTGGACATGTATGAATTCACTTTAAAACTTCAGATCATCACCAGCTGTTTTCTTTATAAAATGAATATTAAGAGCGTACAATGCATCCAGGAGGTTTATTGTGTTATGATTAAACACTCAAGTTTCATTATTCAAGTTTGTCATAACCATCACTGAGACACAGTTAAGGTCTGCACTGCCCAAAATTGACTCCTGTGTATCAAGATGTTGTTACCTCTTCAAAATCAGACCTGAAGTTGTGTTTTATTTTATTTATTTTATTTCATTTTATTTTATCTACATCTCCAAAGCTCAATTTTCTATTCCACCTTGTGAAGCTGTAGTTTTCAAGTTAACAGCTATATTTTACTTTTAGTTTAGAAGAGATTAGAAATGTCAGCACTGAAATCATCCAAATATTCTATTGTGAAGGTGTATGGAGTTTAAAAACACAGTGGAGCACTTCCTGAATTATTACATGACATCACAAAGTGGAATAGACTGTTTTCTAAACTGTGAATGAAATAAAAACAACTCTGAGTATAATTTTGATGAGAAAACAACATTAGAACAGATGAGAAAACAGGGTAACATGGGCCCAAAACAGACCAAACTGACCTGCAGTAGTTTGTATTCACACTAACAGGGAGGGGCATCTGTGAGAAAATATCTGTGGTTACTTTTTATACTACGTTACATCAGATTGTGTTTTTGGTGTTGAACTTGTTTTGTTTAACTTCAGAACTTCTGATCATCACCAGCTCTTTTCATTGAAGGCCTGTGGTCACATGAAATCTTTCTTATTGACTGCATCAAGATGTTTTTATACATTCATCTCCTCTCTCTTTGTCCTGTTTGGGGTTGTGTGTGACTGCACATCTATGGCCTTTAGGCAGTACACTGAATAAACACAAATTTTCTATTCATTTTCAAATTTCCTGGACACAAATGAACAGTAAGAAGAAAACCTGTATGAAGTGATCACCTCCTCTAGTGGTGAGACTGTAGACTACATGCTTTTACATTCATTCACTTGAGGTAGTAGTTTGCCTGATGTAGTTGTGTGTCCAGACGAGGAGTGGGTCTGGGTGTGTAAAGCTCTGTTCACTCCACCTTGTGTTTGAGAGTCTCTGTTCTCTGTTTAAATAGGATGGACATAGAGACACATGGTGAAAATATCAGTGTTCATAATGCAGTGTTCTCTTAAGAGGAAGGATAAGGGGGTTCACTAGTGACCCTGTTGTGTTTGTGAATGTTTATGCACCTCCAAATTCCAATTGGGCTTTCTTTAGACCCATTTTTCATCTAATTATTTCAGAAACACAAGGCATTTGTGGGGGAAATTTTAATTTAAGATTGAATTTGAAACTTGACTCCTCTAACTCAAACATCACCAAGACAAAACTAATAAATAAAAAAATAAATAAATAAATCAGTAATAGATGGTCTTGATGTAACCCAAATGGGTCAGATTACTTAAAAACACAGGTAAGGACTGCAAGTGGTGGTTAAAATGAGGAAATGAGACGTTTTAAAGAATTTAACAATATTTATTTACAAAAGTATAAGTATGTGAGTCCAAGCTAAAAACCGATGCAAATCAGCACAGACTATAAAATATAGGGTAGGCTACACACGGCCGCACCCGGTGTGAGCAGCAACCACCTGGAATCGGAGTATCCACTGGGCTCCGTGAACCACACACACACACATACAAATAAAAAAAAACCTAAGGGTAACTTAAAACGTGCAAAACGAGGGCGTGCAAAAATACCATAACACACGAGGAGTGATGAGCCCAAAGTGGGGAACTCCGACACCAACCCTCCACCAAGTGGGGCGACCGCGCCAACCCTAGGAAAAACAAATTAATTTATAAAATATACACAAGGAAAGAACAGGGTATCTTACATAACTAAAATCGGACCGGGGTCAAACAATATCGACACCCAACCCACAAGAACCCCTAACTAGACGAAAATTAACTTAACCCAAACAAAACAGCAGTGGCCAACAGTGTCTATAAAACAAATACTTCGTTAGAGCACACATCCCATAATAAGAACCCCTTTTAGAACCTCATAAAAAAACTACCTAAAATCGAAGCTCATGAGGGGCCGTGGAGCACGCAACACCGGGAACAGGCTGTAGTCAGTCTAAAAGAACACACACACAATAAAAGCCAAAAATACAATTTCAAACATCCACAAATCTACAGTCAAATACTGGCACCTACCAGGCAGCTATCATATACCCGCAGACAAGTGAAGCCGAGCAGCAGCTTGGTGATACCCCTGTACTCTGCGTTTAAATAGTGCGTGTAATTTGAAAACACGGAAGTGAAAACAGGGGGAGGGGAGGCGTGCCTGCCGATGCTATGCCCCTATGTTGGCCGGCCAAACTATGTGAGGCTACATTGGGCTAATAGATTTGTGGAGACAATTATATCCTACAGAAAAAAAATACACATATTTCTCAAATCCACACTCCTTTTTTTTCTAGAATTATTACTTTTTAATTTTTAGTAAAGACCTGCATAAAGTGTTGGACTGTAAAATAGGTAGAATTCCCCAGTCACACATGCAGAAAACAAATATATGCAAGAATGGTATAAGATTTGTTTCAGATTCTTGACCTGTTGTGTCTTTGTCCAACGGGAGTCAGAAAGTACATCTGGTGTAACAACAGGCTGTAACTACCCAGGCAAGTTTTACACCAAAGTTGCTGCTCCTGAAAGAAAGTGGGAAACTCAAATGTGTCTTTGTCACATAGATTTATCAAAGACAGTTTAATAGTTTCAATAAAATACAAATGTTCTTTCTATAACTGTATTAAACAATTCTGTGGGTTTAACATAAAATACATCATTAACAACTTTGTCATCAAATATTTTCAAAAACAACCACAAAATGTACAAGTATGTAAATTATTAGAAGAGGAAGTTAGTCCAGCTGCAGTTAAACAAATTATTATCTCAGTGATGTGAGAGCTCCTCCTGTGTTGGCCACAGTGAATAACAGTCTGACGTGTTTTTGTACAGCTCCACATATACTTTGTGTGACTGTGTCTCTTCTGGCACAGTAGTACACTGCAGTGTCTTCAAGCTGCATGTTCTGTCCATTCAGAGTCACTGTGTTACTGGAGAAATCTGCATTTATACTGAACTTGTTCTTCAGTGAATCTTTCATATACAGAGTGCATCCAGTACAGTAATATCCAATATACTCCAGGCCTTTCCCAGCAGGCTGTCTGATCCATGCTGTGTGGAAGCCAGGTCCTGCTCTAACAGAATCTGAGTGAATACAGGAGATGGTGAGAGTGTGTCCTGGCTGCACAGTCACAGAGGCTGGCTGTGTCAGTGTCTCACACTTCACACCTGTGGAGGACAGAGCACAATATTGAGGATCAAACTGTGCTGTTTAGTTGTACCAGAGTTTACTGATGTGAACAGAGACTTACAGGATCCAGCTGCCAGCAGCAGCAGAAGAGCTACAGACAACATCATCAGTGTGGAGTGCACTGTCACACTCTCACATGGGCCTTATATAAACACACAGGAACACCGCAGTAGTTTGCATTCACACTAACAGGGAGGGGCATTTCTTAGAAGAAAAAAAAAGGAAATTGTGGAAATAGGCAGTGAGAATTTGTGTATGCAAGTGTTGCATGTTTTTGTCTAACTTGGGATGAGCTTGTTACTTAATGACTAAGTTCACTGTATTCTTGAGATCACATAACATTTTTTAATCATTCATCAAGAATATCTGAATAAAATGACAGTGAAAAGAGGAAGGTAAAAGCACAAGACCAACTCACTACACATGTGTAGAACAAACATTTCCCATCATCTACTGCCCCCTGGAGGTTGTGCTGGTTTTTGTACAGACTCATAATAAAGTTAAACCACAGTGTGTCGGGCACAGTAGTACACAGCAGAGTCCTCAGGCTGCAGGTTGGACAGTCTGAGAAACACCAAGCTTTAGACATTGTCTCTGCTGATTTCTATCCTCCCTTGAACACTGTCTGCGTAATACTTCTTACTTGCATCGTAATAAATGAGCCCCAGACATTCCAACCCTTTTCCTTCAGCTTGTCTAATCCAGTTCATCCCATAGCCACAAATGTTAAACCCAGATCCACTGCAGCAAAGACTGAGAGACTCCTGAGGAGTTTTGAGCACTGGAGAAGAGGGAATGGACTGGAGGATCTGGCAACTCACACCTGACAAATAAAAACAAGTTAAACACTTATTTATTTATTTATTTAAAAAAAAATAGGGACAAAACACATTAATGAACATATACATGATATGTAAATATGTTATCAGATTATAGCCCAAGGCTAATTTCCATCTGCTGTCCCTAGGCAGGTTGATGTAATCATAAAACAAAAGCACAGTAAAAACAATACACCCCGACAGACAATACAGTAATACAAATAGACAGACACAAAGAGCTGGTCAGTCACAAGATCACAGACACAGGTCAAGCAAAGGATGTTGGATTATTTGATCAAAATTGCACGCTGCCTTGTTTAGTTAAGATGCCAGTGTATAGATATTGCACACAGCCCATTGCTAAAATTACTATAAAGTGCTTTTCTACAATGTATTGCACGTGCCCTCGAAGGTAAAATTCTTTAGTATATTACATACTGCCCGTAATTTAAATATTAAAATACTTAATAAATAGCATATTGCACTTTGCCCATTGCACATTGTAAACTATATTAAATGATCACACACCTGTGTCGACCTGAGCCATGTCTTTAAATGGCCTTTAAAAGTCGTAAAGCTGGGGGAGTCTCTAACTGTGGGTGGTAAACTGTTCCACAGAACACTGCCCTTATATGAAAACACATTTTGACTGAAAGAGGTTTTTCTATCAGGCACCTCACAGTCACCTCTGGTTGTGGCCCTGGAGGAGCGACATGTAACACTTGACCTATACCTGATATAATCACTGAGTGGGGGTGGAGCTAAACCGTGCAAAGTCTTATACATTAAACAGGCATTTCTAAATTTTATAAAATTCTGAAAGCTCAATAGATTGTATTTGGAGAGCACATTGCAACTATGGTAAGTAAAGGGTTTCTTGTCTAATATTTTCAAAGCTTTTTTGTAGAGGGATTCTATTGACTTAAGAGTTGTTACACCTGACAAAGACCAACTGGTTATACAATAACTAATGTGAGAAAAAATCATACAATGTAAAAACATCATTGCAGCTTCATTAGTTAATGACAACACACACAATCCAAACATACTGAACATGTTTGTGGAGAAATGAACTCACAGGGCAGGGAGAGCGCCCCCATCAGGAAGACCAGTGTGTTCATCATGGTCAGACTGTGTTAGAAAGGATGTGTCTGTCACTTTATAACAGTAAACTCCAAGGATACAATATTTACATGGGGCTGTGGAGAGGAGGGGTTTGTGAGGAGATTTAAAGTTATGGAGCATGTTCCCTAAGCAGAGCATATGTGAGACTCACCCTGTCACTACTGGTCAACAACAGGTTAAATTTGAATTACAAAAAAAGTTTGGTATTCAGTGAAATATATTTCTCGTATTACGTACAATGGTAAAGGTTATATTTTTCATACAAAAATAAAGGTCTAGTAATTTACTGAACTAAGTTTTTTGTATGTGACTGCACTGTGTCTTGAGAAATATAAACTTCATCACAAGTGTAATTTGTCCAAATGCCCCAAAGCAACAGTTCAGTATCTCAAATGTGTGTTATTTATTTACTGTAGCCATTCTGTAAATGTGTAGTTGTATAAAGTGACTGTATAAAAGCCTTTAACAGACATTTTGTGATACATATGCACATGACATAGTTTTGCATATTTTAAATAAAATAATATGTCAAAGCGATCTCAGAATAAAAATATAGTATTATACATGTCTTCAGTCAAAAAAAATTATCTCAGTGGCATGAGATCTCCTCTTCTGGTGACTACAGTGAATAACAGTCTGATGTGTTTTGTACAGATCTACATATACTTTGTGTGACTGTGGTGCTCTAGCACAGTAGTACACTGCAGTGTCTCCAGGCTGCATGTTCTGTCCATTCAGAGTCACTGTGTTACTGGAGGAATCTGCATTTATACTGAACTTGTTCTTCAGTGAATCTTTCATATACAGAGTGCTTCCTGCACTGTGATATCCAATCCACTCCAGGCCTTTCCCAGCAGGCTGTCTGATCCATGCTGTGTAGTAGCTGCTAACAGAATATGAGACAGTACAGGAGATGGTGAGAGTGTGTCCTGGCTGCACAGTCACAGAGGCTGGCTGTGTCAGTGTCTCACACTTCACACCTGTGGAGGACAGAGCACAATACTGAGGATCAAACTGTGCTGTTTAGTTGTACCAGAGTTTACTGATGTGAACGGAGACTTACAGGATCCAGCTGCCAGCAGCAGCAGAAGAGCTACAGACAACATCATCAGTGTGGAGTGCACTGTCACACTCTCACATGGACCTTATATAAACACACAGGAACACCGCAGTAGTTTGCATTCACACTAAAGGGGAGGGGCATTTCTTAGAAGAAAAAAAAAATTGGAAATTGTGGAAATAGGCAGTGAGAATTTGTGTATGCAAGTATTTCATGTTTTTGTCTAACTTGAGATGAGCTTGTTACTTAATGACTAAGTTCATTGTATTCTTGAGATCACATAACATTTTTTAATCATTCATCAAGAATATCTGAATAAAATGACAGTGAAAAGAGGAAGGTAAAAGCACAAGACCAACTCACTACACATGTGTAGAACAATCATTTCCCATCATCTACTGCCCCCTGGAGGTTGTGCTGGTTTTTGTACAGACTCATAATAAAGTCAAACCTCAGTGTGTCGGGCACAGTAGTACACAGCAGAGTCCTCAGGCTGCAGGTTGGACAGTCTGAGAAACACCAAGCTTTTGACATTGTCTCTGCTGATTTCTATCCTCCCTTGAACACCGTTTGCGTAATACGTCTTACTTGCATCGTAATAAATGAGCCCCAGCCATTCCAACCCTTTTCCTTCATCTTGTCTGATCCAGTGCATCCCGTAGTCACCAAAGTTAAACCCAGATCCACTGCAGGAAAGACTGAAAAATTCTTGTTTGTTTCTGTTGCTGTGATTTTATCTGCTGTGTTATATTGGAGTGAAGGGCTAAATAAGGAGGAAGAGCAGGAAGAGGAGCAGACCGAACTAATTAAGCATTCCCTCCCACTCAATACTATTACCTACACCAGTGTATATATAAGGACCAGTGTTTTTTTTTAAAGACAGCCAGAGGGCTTGAGTGGGGAGGAAGACTTGGGGCATGGGGTCGTAGGACAGGAAACATAAAATGGACAGGAACAAGAGAAAGGTGCAAACGGGATGCAGGTGACTGGAGAACAAGAACGGCCAAGACCAAGGACCGGGCGGAGGGACGCACAACCAAGTGCTGATACATCGCTTTATAAGAGCTGAGTACAGGAATGTGTTTTGTTACACCGTGTCGCCATGAGCGAGGCCTGGCCACAGATGAGAGTTAAGGGGTATTCTCTTTGTTTAGAGCTGCCAATGGTGTCCGGAGGGGAGCAAGAATGAACCACACGCAGGCGCACAGATGCAGTGGCGTGGATGTAACTCTTGGCAAAGCTCAGTAAAGGAACGTGACACGACTGACCCTTGTGTGTGTGTGTGAGGCTAACCTGTGGCCCAGAGGAGGCACACCTTTTAGGTGCCAAAACCGATTGTGAGGGTGTGGGAGCCAGTAACCTTATGAACATGGTGGCATTGATTCAACACCTGGCACAGCTAAGTAAAGGAATGTCACTTGACTGTCCCTGGTGTGTGTGAGTTCAATCTGGTGACTAGTTGAAACATTGATTGATTCATTGCATTTATATAGCACCTTTCAAGATACCCAAAGCACTTTACAGTTCATTATTCATTCACTCCACACTCAGTGGTGGTAAGCTACTATTGTATCCATAGCTGCCCTGGGGCAGACTGACAGAAGCAAGGCTGCCAATCTGCACCATCAGCCCCTCCAACCACCACCATCACTCATGCACACACCACTTTCATACTAGGCAATGTAGGTGAAGTGTCTTGCCTAAGGACACAATGAAAGTTTTTTTTTTTGCCACTGGCGCCCCACTGTGGCACCTGGAATTCCCAGTAGTCTCCCATCCAATTACCACCCAGGCCCGGCTTGCTTAGCTTCTGAGATCTGACAGGATCAGGCTTTGACAAGCCGGTATGGCCATTGAAAGGACTTTCTCTTTTCACAGTTAAATACAAGGTGTGGCAGACACTGAACTTGGGGGACTGATCATGCATTAGATCCAAGCGCACAGACTTTTACCCTGGCCCAAATGCCAGAGCAGCTGTAGGTCAGGCAGTTGCGTGGTGTACGTGGGGTCAGAGTTTTGTACGGGTCCATTTTTGGAGACCCGCACCCACCTGCACCTACGAAGTACGGCACTGCACCCACCCGTTAACCCGTGATTATCCATCCATCCATTTTCTTCCACTTATCCGGGGCCGGGTCGCGGGGGCAGCAGTCTAAGCAGGGACTCCCAGACTTCCTTCACCCCAGACACGTCCTCCAGCTCTTCCGGGGGAACTCCGAGGCATTCCCAGGCCAGCCGAGAGACATAGTCCCTCCAGCGTGTCCTGGGTCTTCCCCGGGGCCTCCTCCCGGTGGGACATGCCTGGAGGCATCTGGAACAGATGCCCGAGCCACCTCAACTGACTCCTCTCGACGTGGAGGAGCAGCGGCTCTACTCCTTCCCTAAGCCCACATTTAAACTCCAAAATCATCATAGAAGTGTGTTAGCAACACACTTGTTTTTGTTTAAAGTCCAAAGCTTTTCTCACCAAACATTTCTAGCTCTCTTGTGTGTGGTGTTTTTTTCAGAATACATGTGAGAGACATTTAATTGCCCCAGCTCACTTCCTCCTCGCTCCAGCCACAGGATCTGTATTTACATCGCCTGTAGCTGGATTTTACCTGTACACTCTCTCACATCGGCTACAGCAGCGCTCGGACCCACGTCTCACCACAAATATCCAACATGTCTGCTGTCCCTGTGACAATATCAGCTCCGCATTGTTAGTTGCCCTTGATACTTGAGACACTGCATGACATAGACACACAGTGGAGCCAAAATTTGACCCAATTAAAAAATTGTCATTCAACTAAAGTGTCAAAATCTGCCTGAAAATCACACAGTGTAAGCCCAGCTGCAAGTAACACCAGACTCGCTCCTTTTTTACAGTCAAACAAAGGATTTCAGATTCTCTTCAGATTCACATGTAAGTGATCTCTGACTTGGAGAAGAGCAGGGGGGAACGTACACAGCCCTGGGGAATACTTGTGATACAATACAATACAAGCACATATAAACATATTACTAAAGAAGGAAGTTGTTACCACAAGTCCAGCTGGAGTTTAACAAATCTTAATATAGTATTATCTCATTGGTGTGAGAGCTCCTCCTCTGGTGGTTATGATGAATAAAACCCTGATGTGTTTTTGTACAGCTCTGCCTATACATTGAGTGACTGTGGCTTTCGGGCACAGTAGTACACAGCAGAGTCCTCAGGCTGCAGGTTGGACAGTGTGAGAAATGTCAAGCTTCTGCCATTGTCTCTGCTGATTTCTATCCGCCCTTGAACACTGTTTGCGTAATACGTCTTACTCGCATCATAATAAATGAGCCTGAGCCATTCCAGCCCTTTTCCTTCAGCTTGTCTGATCCAGTGCATCCCGTAGCTACCAAAGTTAAACCCAGATCCACTGCAGGAAAGACTAACAGACTCCTGAGGAGTTTTGAGCACTGGAGAAGAGGGAATGGACTGGAGGATCTGGCAACTCACACCTGACAAATAAAAACGAGTTAAACACATGCACGATCCAAACATACTGAACATGTTTGTGGAGAAGTGAACTCACAGGGCAGGGAGAGCGCCCCCATCAGGAGGACCAGTGTGTTCATCATGGTCAGACTGTGTTAGAAAGGATGTGTCTGTCACTTTATAACAGTAGACTCCAAGGATACAATATTTACATGAGTCTGTGGAGAGGAGGGGTTTGTGAGGAGATTTAAGGTTTTGGAGCATGTTCCCTAAGCAGAGCATATATGAGACTCACCCTGTCACTACTGGGCAAAACCAGGTTAAATTTGAATTACAAAAAAAGTTTGGTATTTAGTATTTCTAGTATTACGTACAATGGTAAAAGTTATATTTTTCATACAAAAATAAAGGTCTAGTAATTTACTGAACCAAGTTTTTTGTATGTAACTGCGCTGTGTCTTGAGAAATATAAACTTCATCACAAAAGCAATTTGTCCAAATGCCCCAAAGCAAAAGTTCAGTGTTTCAAATGTGTGTTATTTATGTACTGTAGCCATTCTGTAAATGTGTAGTAACTGTATAAAAGCCTTTAACATACATTTTGTGATTCATTTGCACATGACATAATTTTTGCACATTTTAAATAAAATGATATGTCAAAGCTATCTCAAAATATAATGCAAAGTATTATGCAAGTCTTCATTTAAAACAAATTATCTCAGTGGTATGAGAGCTCCTCTTCTGGTGACTACAGTGAGTAACAGTCTGATGCGTTTTTGTACAACTCTGCATATACTTTGTGGTGCTCTGGCACAGTAGTACACTGCAGTGTCTCCAGGCTGCATGTTCTGTCCATTCAGAGTCACTGTGTTACTGGAGTGATGAGCTATACTGAACTTGGCTGTCTGATCTATGCTGTATAAGCCAGTATAAGAGACAGTACAGGAGATGGTGAGAGTGTCCTGGCTGCACAGTCACAGAGGCTGGCTGTGTCAGTGTCTCACACTTCACACCTGTGGAGGACAGAGCACAATACTGAGGATTAAACTGTGCTGTTTATTTGTACCAGAGTTTAGTGATGTGAACAGAGACTTACAGGATCCAGCTGCCAGCAGCAGCAGAAGAGCTACAGACAACATCATCAGTGTGGAGTGCACTGTCACTCTCTCACATGGGCCTTATATAAACACACAGGAGTAGTTTCCATAGTTTCCATTCATACTAACAGGGAGGGGCAGCTGTGGGAAACAAAAAATGGGTTTTCCTACGGAAGCCAAGAAGAGTCACAACAAACGCAAACACTGCAACAAATGCAAATGCGACAACAGAACAAGTGTGTGTTGTGACAGAAGTCACAACACACCAAAAAAAGCCATAACAAACCAAAAAAAGCCACAACGGAAATGACCGCGGGACTCTATTTTAATGCAAACACCGCAACAAATACAAACGCCACAACACAAATGCAAATGCCGCAACACATTAAAAACCCACAACACATTAAAAAGTCACAACGGAAGTGACCACGGGACTCTATTTTCCGACGGACCGATCAAGCGGCAAGTGAAGAAGAAGAACTACAACGTGAAAAGTAAAGGAACGGAGAAATTGGAAACGTAAGTAAAAGTAATTTATTGTTTTATCATTATGCGTTTGTGTTGTGGTGTTTGTATTTGTTGCAGCGTTTGCATTAAAATAGAGTCCCGTGGTCATTTCCGTTGTGGATTTTTTTTGGTGTGTTGTGACTTTTTGTTGTGTTGTCACATTTGTATTTGTTGCAGCGTTTGTGTTTGTTTTGACCCCTCTCGTCTTCCGTAGTTTTCTGTTTATTCATTCACAACTTCCCTGAACACAAATGAACAGTAAGAAGAAACCCTGAAAGAAGCAAACACCTCCTCTAATGGTGAGACAGTAGACTACATGCTCTATTAACATTGATTTAGCATATTGTGTTGGACTTCTGTAGTAGTTTTACATTCTTTCACTTGAGGTAGTAGTTTACCTGATGTAGTTGTGTGTCCACACGAGGAGTGGGTCTGGGTGTGTAAGGCTCTGTTCACTCCACCTTGTGTTTGAGAGTCTCTGTTCTCTGTTTAAATAGGATGGACACGGAGACACGTGGTGAAAATATCAGTGTTCATAATGCAGTGGTGGCACACAGATGCTCCTCCTGTGTTCAGCTGGATTACCATGGACATTTGTGTACTGTTCAGAGCAGGAAAAGAGTGCAGGACACGACCTGGGTGTAAAAGTACCTTTTTTGCCAAAAAAAAAAAATATACATATAGACTAAATTAGAAGTATGTTTGTTTCATTATGTGTGTGTTTATTGAACTGAAAAACAAAGAAGAACATGCATCCTTAAAGTGAACAGCTTTGCATCTCCACAACATGGACTCATGGAAATTTCCTGCTTCTCCTGCTTATTTCTGTGGAAATGGTTTTCCTTTGGCTATAATATTCCACAGTATGTGATAATAAAATGTGTGTTCTGTATTATGGGTTTAACTTTCTTTATCCATGGAATCATGCAGTTGTCTTTCCAGCTCCAAAGACTGACATATTTTAGGATTACAATGCACCCAAGAGGTGTATTGTATTAATGCTGAATACTCACTCCAATTCTCAAGTTTGCCATAAACATCACTGAGACATGTTCAGTATCACCAAAGGAATTTCAGGTTCTCATCAAAGTCACATTCACAAGTGATCTGTGACTCTGGGAGAAGAGCAGGGGGAAAGAACACAGCCCTGGGGAATCCCAGTGTTGATGGTCCCACTGCTTTAGACACTCTTCCCCAGTCGCACATGCAGAAAACAAATGTATGTAAGAATGGTATAAGATTTGTGTCAGATTGTTTGACCTTTGCATCACAAATAGACTGGAGGCCATAATGGACACCTGTTCCCACCCCCTTCACAGTGTCCTTGTTGCACAGAGGAGCAGCAGTGGCAGACGGCTCCTCTCACTCCTGTGTAGGACTGAAAGATTCAAGAAATCCTTTGCTAGACATCTAGCTACCTTTTGTGTCTTTGTCCCAATGGGAGTCAGTAAGTGCATCTGGTGTAACAACAGGCTGTAAATACCCAGGCAAGTTTTACACCAAAGTTCCTGCTCCTGAAAGAAAGTGGGAAACTCAAATATGCCTTTGTCACATAGATTTATCAAAGGCTATTTAATAGTTGAAATAAAATGCATATATTCCTGTAACATGTATGATTGTACTATACAATTCTGTGGATTTAACACAAAATAAACCACTAAGAACTTTATCATACAACATATGCAAATACAACCACAGGGAGTTGTGACCACAAGTTCAACTGCAGTTAAACAAATCTTAACACTGGATTTTAGTGGTGTGAGAGCTCCTCCTGTGTTGGCCACAGTGAATAAGTCTGATGTGTTTTTGTGCAGCTCTACAAATACTTTGTGTGACTGTGGCTCCCGAGCACAGTAGTACACTGCAGTGTCTCCAGGCTGCATGTTCTTTCCATTCAGAGTCACTGTTTTTGTTGAAGAATCTACATTTATACTGAACTTGTTCTTCAATGAATCTTTGAATACTGCGGTACATCCAGCACAGTAACCTCCAATCCACTCCAGGCCTTTCCCAGCAGGCTGTCTGATGAAGTGTGTCGCATAATGTCCAGCTCTAACATCATATGAGACAGTACAGGAGATGGTGAGAGTGTGTCCTGGCTGCACAGTCACAGAGGCTGGCTGTGTCAGTGTCTCACACTTCACACCTGTGGAGGACAGAACACAATGTTGAGGATCAAACTGTGCTGTTTAGTTGTACCAGAGTTTGCTGATTACATGGGCCTTATATAAACACACAGGAGCTCAGCAGTAGTTTGTATTCAAACTAAAGGGGAGGGGCATCTGTGAGAAAATATCTGTGGTTATTTTTGATTCTACGTTACATCAGATTGTGTTTTTTGGTGTGAACTTGTTTTGTTTAACTTTAGAACTTCTGATCATCACCAGCTGTTTTCACTGAAGGTCTGTGGTCACATGAAACATTTCTTATTGACTTTATCGAGATGTTTTTATACATTCATCTCCTCTTACTTTCTCCTGTTTGGGGTTGTGTGTGACTGCACATCTATGGCCTTTAGGCAGTACACTGAAAAAACACAAATTTTCTATTCATTCATTTACAACTTTCCTGGACACAAATGAACAGTAAGAATAACATTTGGAAGCAGCAAACACCTCCTCTAGTGATGAAACAGGAGATTACATGCTCTATAAACACTGATTAAACATATGGTATTATTTTTAATGTACTGTTACAGTAGCTTTACATTCATTCACTTGAGGTAGTAGTTTGCCTGATGTAGTTGTGTGTCCAGACGAGGAGTGGGTCTGGGTGTGTAAAGCTCTGTTCACTCCACCTTGTGTTTGAGAGTCTCTGTTCTGTTTAAATAGGATGGACACAGAGACACATGGTGAAAATATCACATTGTGGCCAGGACAGGTAGAACGGCCACGTCACAGTGAGTAACACATGCAATGATGACTGAGGCAGGATTAGCGTAGTCCATTTCTTTTTATTTTTTAATTCCCAAAAAATTCCCAAAAAGTGATCAGGTGCAAAAAGTTGCTAGGAGGATTGGAGCAGCAGGTCTTCTCCAGCAACAGAATCATGAATGGTAAAACACAGGCGCCTTATATTCTGCAGGGTAAAACCATTAAACCTGTAAGGGATGTAAAATTAACATTAGCGGTATAAAAAAGTTCAGATCATCCAATAAAATAACCATAACCAAATAAACTAACGTAATAAAATACTACATGACTAAACCCAATTAAAAACTAGTGCTCTTCCCCCCGATGACCAATGTCTTGAGCTAGCCCAGAACTCTTAAACAGTGTCTGGTCTCCCAGGAAATCTTTTGGCCAGACACCTGGACACAAGACACGGGTAAGTAAAAGCACTGATGAATTCAACACATACACACACATACCGCTTTCACACTTTGAAAATATCGACACTACACATGCAAACACACACGAGACACAGCTCATTTAAAATATGGCACATATATTGCACATTTCCAATTGTAATGCTTTGTTTGTCTCCGTAGACTGACAGTCACAATTACCAGAAGTAGAGTTAAAAGTTTTCAAATAAATATTTTAAATAAATGAAAATGTAAATGTGTGCAATTTTTATGATGTGGAAATTAGCGTATCTCATA